TCCGACACCAAAAACCCTTACTGGAACCTGTCTGGACACCATCAGACTGCATCTCTAAGTGGTCCATCCTTCATATCTTGGACTATGGTTCTTCATGATCTTTGTGTCGGGCTTGGTTCCATCCTCCGTGTCTTGGACAATGCTTGTCTTTTACGTCTTCAACAAATCTTCTAATGTCTTGCTTGAGGTGTTGATTATCCGGATCATCACGTCGCTTAAGTCTAATCCACTTTTGCACCCTATTGAACTATAAAATAAATACTTGCAAATTCATTAGTCCAACTTGGTCATGTTGATAACCGAACACCAAAATCCAAACTAAATGGGCCAAGGGTCCATTTTCGTTACTGTCTTCTACCACTTGCCACTATCCTCCCTATTACCTTCCATATCCTTGCCTCGTCGTCAAAAGGAGTGGTGCTCCTAGGATTTGGAGAAGCTTCCCTACCGCATCTTCCCCAACCTTATAGCCTCACTTGGGCCTAGAGGATGCGGGCTCGATGCTTGACACAAAAATCTACCTATTTGCGGCATGCACACACAATAATCACCCCTACAAGATATAGATATAGACTAGCGAACATTCATACGTTGTACCAGTATGTACATCTTGTTGTAATATCACTTAGATGGGTTGTGCCTTAGATTTAAGCAAAGATCGTGTGATCTGTTCCAATACGTTTAGAATCGGGCTCCATACCATAGCTAGACGCGTGTTATTTTAACTTGTGTGGGAACATGTTGTGAGTTCAGGTCATGGATGAGATAGAGAGGGGTGGAGGGTATTATGGAAAGTAAAAGAAGATGGACGGATGAATACTTTCTGTCTCTAATTTTAGTATATAGATATAGATATAGATATAGATATAGATATAGATATAGATACAGATATAGGTATAGATATAGTTATAGATATAGATATAGATATAGATATAGATATAGATTTATTCTGTTAAGATAAGGCTGTGAACAATGATTGATTTTTTAATTAATATCGAACCTTTTGATAATAATTTATTACAGACTAAAGAAATGATATAGATATAGATAGATTTGGTATGGATTTAAGCAATGATTTTTTTTAATTAATATTGGATTCTTTAATTAGGATAACAATTCCCTTGATCCTCGTTGACGTCCCTCGCAAGGATCAAGTTTCTGGTCGGGTAACTTCGTAGATAGCCCTGAGGCTTCCCATATGCAAGTGGGTCTCCGTGTGGCCTCTCTCGGACCTCTCCTTGTCCGACTATTGAATTTCCGACCAAAACGTTTCAGGTGTCATTTCTTTCGGTGCACTATCGGAGGTCATATTATAAAAGGCGGTTGGCATGATCTCGCAAGATTACACACAAACACAGTTGGCATGATTCACAATATTTTTTACAAAAGCCAATTGCCATAAGCCAAAAGTCAGAAAGCTGGCTTTTGAGCCAAAAGCACAAAACTGTAGCTCAAACAAACATGCCTGTAGCTTGCCTTGGAAAATGTACAGGTTTTCTTGTCAGCTAGAGTTAGCACCAGCAGTAATTCTTCCGACAGTAGAGTAAATGATTTCAATAGGCTTGTCACTTGTTTTCAATTCCAGAAGTACTCTTCCACACGGTGTAGTTGTTAGTACTCACTCCGTTTTCAAATAAATCAATGCCTAGAATATGTGCCATGACTAACTTTATAATAAAGAGTAACAACATCTATGTCATAAAATAAACACCTCATGAAAATATATTTTAGGGTAAATCTAATGATACTAATTTGATACCATAAGCCTTAACCTTTTTTCAAAAAATTTGGTCAAAATTTAAAAAATTTGACTTAAGACAACTCTAAAAATCTATTTATTCAGGGACAGATCGAGTATCTAGATTTCTGACAAAGCAAATTTACGATACCAAAGCAAATTTACCATACCAATATATTCCTCCATTCCATACAAGGATAAGTCTTTGCTTCCTTATTGAGAAATCATACAAGCATATTATTGAAATTTGAAGATTATCTTAGGCCCCGAAGAAGTTAATAAATTTTACCTCTTACTTTTTGCATGGCCAATAAGTATAATTGTATTAAATAAATATACAAAGTAAGAAAAGAATTTAGACTAATTGTATACCATAAAGAAAAATGTGAACGCTTTCGTCATTGCGGATCGATCATACGTCACTCCGCCAAACTTACAACCCGCGAGATGCGTGCCCTTGTCGATATATAGTGCCCGTGAGCACCGCTGGTGTCTTCGACCACTTGCCACTACCATTCGTGTTACCTTTCACATCCCCGCCTTGTCGTCGAAAGGAGTGGTGCGTCCAAGATTTGGAGAAGCTTCCTGCCACAAGATCTTCCCTAACCTTATAGCCTCACTTGGATCTAGAGAAACGCGGGCTCGATGCGAAGCATACTCTATCGATGAATTATCGGTATCATGTTTCTCGACCTTTTCTGGTTTATATCTCAACACATATAGATTCATGATGCAATACTTTTGTAGATTTCTTCTTGCTCTACAGTTTATGTAAACAATAATTGAGAGTTATCTTTTTTTTTTTGAATCACACAGAAAAAATGTAGACGTTTACATTGATGCGGGCATATCATCTGGAAGAATGAGCCGACAGATCTTGAGATTGACGAAATCATTACACCATGTCGAGAAGGAGGAGTATATGGATACAGATGGGACGATCTCCTTGCTGCGTGGTGTTTCCAAAGGTAAATCTTTTGGCGAATTTAAACCCAGCCTTATGCATATTGATTTGTTTCTTCAATTTGTTACGCCTGATTTGTCTTTCCTCTTAGATTCTGTTTTGAGTTGCCAGCATGTGAAGTTATTATGGCTGCATGCACGAGCGAATCTATGTAGATTTATTACTGGTTTGCCTACGAAATATCAGCGTTGTATGGCAAGTAAATCTGGAGCAGTGGTGTTTTCACACTAGCTACTCAGATTTAGGTGAAGTTCATCCGCGATCTTTGCATCTCTAGTTAAAGCGGCTTTAGAACTTGTGCGTCTGCAGGAAAGCCGTGGAAACGCATCGGGCTGTATCAAATGAACCGATGGCTGCAAAGTAGTGGTGGCACTTGCTTGCCGTTTAGCACTCCGGCCGGCCGATGGCGTGCCGAGGCATGCAAGCTCCGGCCTGCCACGCCGAGCACGCACCGCACTGCACCGCGCTGCGCCCGCCCGCCAGCTTCTCGGCGTCCGTTCCCGGGGGCCAGGCCTAACCTCCCCGGGCGCTGCGCGCGTTCTCCCGGGCGGCGGTTCGGATCCTCACGCGCTGCACCCTAGGTAGCCTGCCTGGCGCGGGGCGCACCGCGCGCGACGCCGTCCAAAACCGGCGGCCGGGAGGTCCTCGGCCCTCACGTTTCCTGCCAGCCGATCGATGGCGTGGCACATACCATTCCAAAACTTTCCAACTCAGCCCCGCCCGCACCCGCACAAAAGCCGGCAGAGAGTCACCCGCGTCGCGCTCCGCCGAAGCCTGGCTGCATCATGCACGCGCCGTGCCCGGCCCAACCGCTCGCTTTGTCCCAGCCCTCGCCGCGCCATGCTCCACCACGCGCGCGCGGTCCGTGGAGGGCAGCCGCCAGCCAAAAACTGGCGGCGCCCACCGATTTCCAGCCCACCGCCAGCACCGCTCTCCCGGAAGAAACGCTTCAGTTGCACATCGGCTGGACGGCAGAGAGTAGCGCGCTGCCAACCACTGCGTGAGGCGTGAGGCGTGAGGCGTGAGGCCGAGGCGTGAGCGTAGCCGTCGGAAGGAAGGAAGAGGCCGGGGCAGTGACAAACGGCTAACTGATCGTTTTTGTTTGAAGGCGGGGAAAGCAGCAGTTTGCATTTGCAGCCGGGAAGAAGTCAATGCCAAGCCATAAGTTTTCCTCTTTTCCCTTCAGTAGCCTCGTCCATCGGGACCATGCCACGCGAGAGAGCCTTTTACACCTGGACTGGACACCAGCGGCCGGCCGGCTGGCTCTGGCTGACTGGCTTCTCTGTCAGACTGTCACACTCTCTCTCTGTCCTCTGGCTAGAGGCCGCTTCGGTTCTCGTGCACTGCCGAACCAACCCGGGCAAGAACTCGTTTCCTGGGTGCTGCTACGGATACCCCTGGAGTCCGCAAGAAAGAGATAGCAGGGTGAGGGGCCTTCTCACCAGGCCACTATGCTCCCGCATTTCTCAGAACTGATCTCTTGTGGGAACTCCCTGTGACCGGCTAAGGCTACACAGGATTGAACACACCAAAGGTTGTTCCTTGGCAAAACTAGCCGCTGGGTTTATTTACCTAGCCGTAACAATATAAAGATCAATTTGCTCATATGTTCTCTTGGTAAAACCATGGTAAATGGACTTTAAGTACGACAAATGACATGCTACAAAGAATGTGCCAGCCATTTTGCCGCGATTTGAAAATTTCTTAACTTTGGGTTTCGACAGCTAGATCATCGGTTACTTGAACCGTGCTGTCAACCTACTATAAATACAGGCATATCCAAATGCTTGGTTCATTGCTAATGTCACTTGTCGCTACTTTCGTAAGTCCACCGGTAACATTTTCGATGCCGACAAACGGCTATTTTGACCCAACAAGGATGGGAGACAGTTAATTACCGACGACTACATTGACCCAACAAGGATGGAATGCGATTAATTACCCAACATCAACTGTGTCACGCCAATTTACTTGTGAAAAGTGTATCCCTCCTGAATCACAATTGCTCGGCACACCGCACCATTTCATTAGTGATACATCTACCCACGTAGCGTGAGCCATCTCGGTAGAATTACCTCAATAGATGTGTTTGGTGACATGTTTCTTACTCAGGGTCTATCTGGGTGTTCCTCCGTTAGTGTTCCCCTAGCAAAATCACCCTCAGCACTTCTCTTCCATCTATAAGAGCAAACCATGGAGCCTTCCAATTCTGTGACCAAAAGGCAACTCCCTCCTGAAAACCTGTCCACTCGGCCACTCTCCGCTCTCTCCACTCGCTCACCACCGCCACCGCCAGCCATGGATGCCACCCGCTGCCTCCTCGCGTTCCTGCTGCTCCTGCTCCAAGCCATTGCGGGCTCCTCCTCCGATACCAAACACCTCATCGCCGTCAGGTTCGCGCTCCACGACCCCACCGGCGCGCTCGCCGGCTGGGCCGCCGCCACCAACCGCAGCTCCCCGTGCCGCTGGGCGCACGTCTCTTGCGCCGAGAACTCCACGGCGGCCGTTGCGGGGGTTAATCTTTACAATCTCACCCTCGGCGGCGCCTTTCCCGCCGCGCTCTGCTCCTTGCGGTCCCTGGAGCACCTCGACCTCTCCGCGAACCAACTCATGGGCCCGCTGCCGGCCTGCGTCGCGGCGCTCCCGACGCTCATCCACCTCAACCTCGCCGGGAACAACTTCTCCGGCCAAGTCCCACCGTCGTGGGGCGCCGGGTTCCGCTCGCTTGCTGTGCTGAACCTGGTCCAGAACATGCTCTCGGGCGAGTTCCCGGCGTTCTTGGCCAACCTCACCGGCCTCCAGGAGCTCCAACTCGCCTACAACCCCTTCTCTCCGTCGCCATTGCCGGAGAAGTTCTTCGACCTACCCGGCCTCCGCGTGCTGTTCATCGCCAACTGCTCCCTCAACGGTACCATCCCCTCTTCCATCGGGAAGCTCAAGAATCTCGTCAATCTGGACCTTTCGTCGAACAACTTATCCGGTGAGATACCATCAAGCATTGGGAATCTGAGTTCTTTGGAGCAGATCGAACTCTTCTCGAATCAGCTCTCCGGTACTATTCCCGTGGGTCTAGGAGGCCTCGAGAAGCTGCATTCGCTGGACTTCTCCATGAACCGGCTCACCGGGGAGATACCGGAGGACATGTTCACGGCGCCGAGGCTTGCGAGTGTGCACGTGTACCAGAACAATCTGTCCGGTCCCTTGCCAGTGACGCTGGGGACGGCGGCGCCAAGTCTGTCTGACCTGAGGATTTTCAGCAACCAGTTTTCAGGGCCGTTGCCGCCGGAGTTTGGGAAGAATTGCCCGATCGGATTCCTGGACATGTCGGACAACCGGCTGTCGGGTCCGATTCCGGCGACGCTTTGTGCTTTCGGGAAACTAAACCAGCTCATGTTGCTGGACAATGAGTTTGAGGGCCCCATTCCGGTTGAACTGGGGCAATGCCGGTCACTCGTGAGGGTGCGGCTGCAGAGCAACAGATTGTCTGGCCCAGTGCCACCAAAATTTTGGGGATTGCCCAATGTCTACTTGCTGGAGCTTCGTGAGAATGCACTGTCAGGGACGGTTGATCCTGCCATTGCCAGTGCCAAGAACCTATCCACGCTGCTCCTACAGGACAACCGGTTCACTGGTACTCTGCCTACCGAGCTGGGGACCTTGGACAGCCTGCAAGAGTTCAAGGCCTCCAACAATGGTTTCACTGGACCCATACCTCGGTCGATTGCCAAGCTTTCATTGCTTTACAATCTTGATCTGAGCAACAATTCTCTCTCTGGAGAGATCCCAGGGGATTTTAGTAAGCTGAAGAAACTGTCACAGTTGGACCTTTCAGATAACCACCTCACTGGGAATGTCCCTCCGGAGCTTGGGGAGATCGTCGAGATAAATACGCTGGATTTGTCAAACAATGAGCTTTCTGGTCAGTTGCCTGTGCAGTTGGGGAATCTCAAGCTAGCTCGTTTCAACATATCCTATAACAAGCTCTCAGGGCCTTTACCCAGTTTCTTCAATGGCTTACAGTACCAGGACAGCTTCTTGGGCAACCCTGGCCTGTGCTATGGGTTCTGTCAGAGCAACGACGATTCCGATGCCAGACGGAGCAAGATTATCAAGACGGTGGTCTCCATCATAGGTGTTGGTGGGTTCATCCTACTCATTGGCATCGCTTGGTTCGGCTACAAGTGCAGGATGCACAAGATGAGTGCTGCTGAATTGGATGATGGGAAATCTAGCTGGGTGCTGACATCCTTCCACAGGGTGGATTTCAGTGAGAGGGCCATTGTCAATAGCCTTGATGAGAGCAATGTGATTGGCGAGGGCGGTGCAGGCAAGGTGTACAAGGTGGTTGTTGGGCCTCAAGGTGAGGCCATGGCTGTCAAGAAACTCTGGCCTAGTGGTGTGGCAAGCAAAAGGATAGACTCATTTGAGGCTGAGGTTGCAACGCTAAGCAAAGTTCGGCACAGGAACATTGTAAAGCTTGCATGCAGCATCACAAACAGTGTCAGCAGGTTGCTTGTCTATGAGTACATGACAAATGGTAGCCTGGGGGATATGCTGCACAGTGCGAAACGCATCATCTTGGATTGGCCCATGAGGTATAAGATTGCTGTTAACGCTGCTGAAGGACTCTCATACTTGCACCATGACTGTAAGCCCCCAATCGTCCATCGAGATGTGAAGTCAAACAACATCTTGCTTGATGCCGAGTATGGTGCCAAGGTTGCCGATTTTGGTGTTGCAAAGGCTATTGGGGATGGCCTGGCTACGATGTCCATCATTGCAGGGTCTTGTGGATATATCGCTCCTGGTTAGTTGCTGATGCCTAACTGTAGTTCTGCATGTTTACTTAAGTTGTTGTGCCTCAGCTTTTTACTTTATCCTTTATCTTTTCTATTGTTGCTCTATACAGTTTTTGAAAAGTAGTATTCTAGTAAAGTGAAGCTACAGGTTAGAGCTAACCAGCCTGTTCGTTTGGCTGTGGCTTGTCGTAAACGATCGTAAATTTCCAGCCGGAACAGTATTTTTCTCTCACACAAACCAGCCAGCAGTACTTCTTCATGAACCAGCAACGAAACGAACCAGCCAACCGAACAAGCTGAACATATATTGCATATTACGAGTTCTAATGCCTGACTGATCTGTTATGGGCATTGCAGAGTATGCTTACACTCTCCATGTCACTGAAAAGAGTGACATCTATAGCTTTGGTGTGGTGATCCTTGAGCTTGTTACCGGAAAGAAGCCGATGGCAGCAGAGATTGGCGAGATGGACCTGGTGGCGTGGGTATCTGCCAGCATTGAGCAGAACGGGCTAGAGTCTGTGCTTGATCAGAACCTCGCTGAGCAGTTCAAGGATGAAATGTGCAAGGTTCTGAAAATTGCACTGCTCTGTGTCTCAAAACTTCCAATCAAACGACCACCAATGAGGTCTGTGGTGACGATGCTGCTGGAGGTCAAGGAAGAGAACAAGCCAAAGACGAAGGCGGCAGCAACTCTGCCCATCTGACCTGGGGAGGCAAACCCATCTGAACAATAATAAATAAAAGTAGTGTTTGCTCTTCTTGGGATAATGTACTAAAACAATCTGCATTATATCTGATCTTGAGAAGTTCATTCCAGGTAGCAGCTAGCTAGGTCTGAAACACAGCATGGTGGATCTTGAGAAGTTCATTCCAGGTAGCAGCTAGCTAGGTCTGAAACACAGCATGGTGATTGCTAAAGCTTGTAACTGTAGTAGCCTTTTGCTCTGAATGAGAAAGTGCTGGCTTCTGTCAATTTGTCTGGCATTTTTTTTATGTTCATGACTGGCTAGTCCCATCATGGGTGGGGTTGACTTTCATTCTTTTGTGCCTATTTCTGACCCCGAAAGGTGTATCTTCCAATCCTTTCCACCTGGTTCTGGTAAGATACTTTGGAACATCTTGTGGACATGATACAGTGCCTGGTGACCTAAAACTTCCATGGATGTCAATCTAACTACAGAAAACATGGTTGTATACAATATATGCACTTATCTGCATCTAAGAGACTAAGATACATATAATTACATAGAAAAAAAATTGGATATATCTTTCGGATGCTCTGTACACTGTTATATATAGCTGCACATGAAACTGGAACATTGCTATTTAAATTGGACTGCCTTTTTATTGGCAAGAACAGGACTGTATTTTTATTAATTGTTCCTTTGTTCTGTTCCTGGCAGTACTATTAATTTTTTTATTCCTTCAGCTTGTGACCATCCAGTCCTGTCTTGGCTGCTCGGTGTTTGCTGGCCTACCGAGCAGACAAGTCAGTAGCGGAGGACCTCGCCTCATCGACACACGTATGGCTGCCCTACCGAGCGGAACGACGACGACACCCCACCCCCACAGGAGGAGCCACACATAGGTTGGTTGAGTTTCTCATATGATCTGTCATGTACTAAAGTAACAGATAAGGAGACACTTAAATAGGAAATGAAAATTTTGAGGTTTCAATGTTTCATGCAAGCTGCATAACAGTCGTAAATTTTTTATCACTTGGTTTGGATATGGCAAAAAAAAACATGACTCTGCACTTCCCCCGATGTATGATCGGCCTAGATCATTAGCCACCACAAATTATGTGCTTGCCATTCCATACAAGCAAAAACAATTGATCAAACTGCACTTGAAAAATAACTTTGTCTATCAACCATCCATTGACTCTTCATGGAACTTTTTCACTAACAAAGTATCAGATAAGGAGACACTTAAATAATAAGGAATGAAAATTTTGAGGTTTCAATGTTTCATGCAGGCTGCGTGTTTTTCTTTGTATTAGTGCAATTCATTGTATGTACATACGAAAGCTTCATCTAGATTTCAGGATATAAATTTTTTCTTTGCCATCCGCGCTCACCTTCATGTGTTGACAGCCGTTTTGAGGACCTACAACAAGAAGTGTTCAGGAAAAGCTGCCTCAGGTTCATCCCTTCTACGGTTCTACCCCCATTCTTGGCCAATGAACAGCAATCATGTGCAGACAGATAGTTCTAGAGTTTGCTTGGTTCATATATAGTTCAGAGTTTTTCTGACCAATTTTTTTGAAAACCATTGCAAGACGGCGCCCTGGGGTCTTTAATTCAACCAAGACTATACTCTGACCTTAGGTTCATGGATTCTATTTCTTTTGTTCTGAATCGCTTTGGTCAAATTTGTATGGTTCATTGTAATCAAGGAAAGAGGATGATCATGCCTCCTATTGCCCTTGTTGAGTAGCAGTTTTGTACTACATCATCTTGCTTTTGAAGTGATGCATAGACAGTTTACCAAACATTAAGACATAACCAAGTATTGAACAAGCTATTTTAGATATTTTAGAAAATTAGTATCTGCTCTTGCTCATGCTGAATATATGATGTGCTGAGGTAGTATTTTGATGGATACTAAAAAAACAATATATGAGGGCAGCTGTTAGAGTATGGCAGGGGCCTATTGGGCCTGGGCTGGATGTATAGTCCATTTGTGTTAGGGTTAATTAGAGATAAGGGTCGCTTGCTTAGGAGTCAAGTAAACCTCTCTATATAAGGAGAGGAGATGTATCAATCTAATCAAGCAAGAATTAAGAAGGAAATCCCTTCCCTCTTGCCCGGCTGTGGGCAAACGCCCCGCGGCCGGCTCTCTCTCACCCTCGCAACCCTAGCCGTGAACAGTACCCGCGGTACTGTAGCTCCGCGGGTACTGTATCGTGTCAGCCGCCGTCGCTCCCCTCGCCTCTTCCTCTCAATCCTAGCAGCCACATAACAACCTGGTATCAGACTTGGCCATGTCGATCCCGCTGCCCTCCACCACCGTGCCCCCGCTCTCCGCGGCGGGCCCGCCAGGCACCACCGCGCCGCTGTCCGTGGTCTCCACGTCGGCCAGGGTGCTGCAATCCTCGCTGCAGATGGCCGCGGGTGCGTTGTCCTCCGCCGTGGGCGTCATGACGAACGAGCAGTTGATGGCGGCTGTCCTTGACCTCGGCAAGATGGTGGCCGGGATTCATGGGTTCCTGCTGGGGCCACAACTGAACCCGCCGCCGACGTCCCAGCAGCAGCTGCTGCCGTCGCCGCCACCGCTTCCGGCTTGGATCGCCGGTTTGTCGAAACCCATCTACACGGCGCCCGATACCGATCGCACCTACCGCTTCCGCACCACCGGGCTGTCATGGCGCATGGCGCGCCCGGCCGGCGTCCTCTCGGCGGGGTGGGCGGCGGCAACTGATGCCGACGCTCTCCGCCACGTCGCCCTCATTTGGGCACAGACGGGCGCGGTGCCCTCGGCCTCCGCCGACAGACCCGCCATGAAGTTGCGCTTAGTCTGCGGAGGACCTCGATCTCGTCCGCTGCGTCGGGGATCTCGGCATGCGGTTTCCCCCACGGGCGGCGGACATGCTATTTTCCCTGCGGGCGGCAGTTGGGGAGGCGCATCCCTCCACCTCGTTCTCCATCGAAGCCCTCCGCTCTTCTCATGCGGTCAAGGACGATGGCCGTCATGGGGGGAGAAGGCATGGTGTCACCAGCGGGAGCGCACTGCCTAGCACCGCCGCTTTCCGCCACCGACCACCGCGAGGGCGCCTTCGCTAGCCGTTGTTGCGACTACTTCTAGGTGGCCATATACATGCACCCCTTTCGTCAAGATGGTGTCCATGGGATCTAGGTGGTTGTCTACGTCCAGCTTATACGTCGGGCTGGTGTCCGCCATCAATTGAAGAGGCTGCAAAAATAAAGAGTTCACATCTATTTTCGGTTGATAATAATAAAATAAGCCGAGATGTAAAAGGCTTGTTTTTAAGTGATAGGTTGTGTCGAGATATCGTTATAAGTTGGTTAGGTTGCAGCTCGAGGACGAGCTGCATGTCCAGGTGGGGTGTAGTGTTAGAGTATGGCAGGGACCTATTGGACCTGGGCTGGATGTATAGCCCATTAGTGTTAGGGTTAATTAGAGATAAGGGTCGCTTGCTTAGGAGTCAAGTAAACCTCTCTATATAAGGAAAGGAGATGTATCAATCTAATCAAGCAAGAATTAAGAAGGAAATCCCTTCCCTCTTGCCTGGCCATGGGCAAACGCCCCGCGGCCGGCTCTCTCTCACCCTCGCAACCCTAGACGTGAACAGTACCCGCGGTACTGTAGCTCCGCGGGTACTGTAGCGCGCCAGCCGCCGTCGCTCCCCTCGCCTCTTCCTCTCAATCCTAGCAGCCACATAACAGCAGCAATAACGGGTCATATATTATTTCTGAAAAACAATTATGATGCTGAAAATTAGTATGTGTTAGTCATTCCTTAACTTGAAGACTGGAAATACTGTTCCCTGAAATGCTACATGCAGGGCTAATTAATTCATGCAGAGTTCTATATCAGTTCATCATCACACTTTTTGGTTATCACTAAAAAAGCATCATAGCCTGCAGTTCCTAGTTAAGGCTTTCAATTTGTTATATATGATAAAGGGGGTTGTATTTTTATTTTTTGAAAGATAGTGTGTTGTATTTTAGAACTGTGGGGTAGCTAGGAGATGCTGAAACTTTGTGACGACAGCATTGATATGTGTCAAATTCTTTTCCTAGAATCTGTCTTTTTTTACTTTATAGTGGTCTCTTTTATCATTGTGAACTGTTCTAAGCTATTTAGCCTGCATCATTATATAATTTGTTTATTTAGCCTGCGTCAAATTAGTATCATCAAACAATTTATGTGCCGCGTCATATGGACAACTCTATTGTTCCAAACAACTCAGTCTTTTTCACTGTTCTATTTTCATCGTTCATTCACTCTGCATTTAATTTATAAAATAAAAAAGCTTGCA